TATTTTATCATCAAAGACATAGTATTGTACTTATGTAGAAGAATTCTATCAATGTTCTTATTTGTTTTTAAAAAAGTATATTAGCTATTTAGATTGTACATGGTGAAAAAATCAAAACATTAGCTAAATGAGAAACATATTAGCAAAATAAATTATTAAATATCGCAGTTACTCACCTAAATTCAACTAAATGTGTATAATAAATTAGTTAATGCTAGAAATTCTGAAACTTTTGGAAAAAAAATTTATTGTTTAAAAATATAAACTTTAAACCCTAAATTTTCCTTGTGAGATAATAACCCTCAAAAAGTCTTTCATTTTCAAGAACACAAAAATTTGTTTTTTCGCCAAATGAAATATTTTTTGGTGATCAGCATTATTGAAATCAATTTCTATATTAATTATCATTTGTGATAAAGTACATAACATTTTAGAACAAAATATGGATGTTTTACATACAATATAATTTGACCATGAATCCGAAAACAATATGGTCCATTTCCAGGAGGTGGCTTTATGTGTGCTCCAAATGATGCAAGAGCAGAATTATATTCCCGCATATGATTTCGATAATTTCGTGCCTCAATCGAATTATCACTTAATAATTTTTGCAGCTACTCGGGAATGTCCATTAGTGTAGGCAAATTAATTTTTCCATCGAGCGGGCATTTCGTATATTTGCCAGGAGAATTTCTTTCTTTAGCCCAGAAGTAAACATTACAATAACTACATTGTTCCGTCATTGAGCCAATATTATACTCTTTGACATCTACTGTTGCATCTTGAACAGTTATTATTGCACTTGATCTCTGCAATCTACGTCTTCCATAACATTCCTCAACACTTGGGCTCTTCAAGCATGTTTTCTTTCATTACGTTTAAAAGCCCTAGCAGTTTCATTAATATTCTGCATTTTAAAGCGTGAAAATTCAATGCATAAATAAATGCGAAATATAAAAAAATTCAATGCATTCAATACAAACACTTAAACGTTTTTTAGACGTTTAGGTAGCTCCCAGCAGAAAAATATCACTTCAACAGCAGCCTTTTAAAGCATTCTCACTTCAATTAATTAATTGATTCCTAATTGAGTTTAAATTAAATATTATCATGTTTTTAGGGCATGAATCTGAATTGAACAACCTGATAATGCTCACTCTGGTTATTGTTTCCGTTTTTAAAAGCGCTATATGTTGAGCCCCCTAAACTAGATTTGGCATGTGACATTTTTAGCAGCAATCATTGGTCGATTTTCTAACGTTGCCATTCGGGGAGTTGTAATGAGGCTTTTTTTTTGGTGCCTTGTAAGAGAAATATATATATGGATTAACAGTTATATATACTATTAACAACAGTATATTAAACTATTAAACATAATTTGTGCACTACATCATGAACAGGGCTAGGATATTGATAACCTAAAATTTCTTATAAAATGTCCACACGAAAAAGCCTCTAAAAACTATTAAAAATAGCCTTAAAAGGAAAAATAAAGCCCTTTGCATTTTTGACACCACTTTTCATATATTTTTTTTAATTATTTTAATTACATTTTTTTTTAATTATTTTAATTACATTTTTTTTAATTACATATATTTATAACATTATTAAAAGAAATATTAGTATTAATTAAAATAAAATGTATATGATGGACTAAAAAAGATACATAAAAAATTTTTGATCTTCGGTTACAATGTATAAGAACATCAAAATTGTATTGTGAAATAATTTCAATTAATTGAATGTCTTTTGTTCAAAAGCAATTTCCCAACATTCAAAACAAGATGCGAATTCCTTTTCAAAAATTCAAATATCAGCAGTTGTTATTTAGTATATTTATAATTCAAGATTCAATGCAAATATTCTGATAATTTATAAAAAAAAAAAAAAAATTTAACTCAAGCAAAATGCTCTTAAAATAAAAGAATACTAATAAAAATTGACAAAGAAAAACCTGATTAAAAATTTTTTTTTTTCAAAAATGATTAAAAAATGACCAAGAAATTATTTTAATAAATTATATATAAAAGATAAAATAACAAAAAATGTGTTCTTCATCTACATCCAAATTCTGGTGATTACCAATGATAGTCATAGTTCTGTTATTTTTATTTGTAACTAAGTTTTAATATATTTATTATATCTTGTTATTTTACAATAACTTCTTTTAGATTGTGCCTTCCGATACATTTTTCTTTCCTTTTTGTTCCGATAAATATGTTATAACTAATGGGGTTTATAAAATTTGTGCTGATTATTTCTATGTTGATTTCTAACTTTAAATCATTGTCCGCCACCATTTAAATTATGTGATTTTTAATGTGAATGAAAGCTTTAAATATTAAGTGAGACATCTGTTTTAATTCCCAAATTAGTTAAAATGGAATAAATATTTATAATTTTTTTTTACTAAGTTTGAAAAAAATTTTTAGAAAAAAATGAGTTTATCTTATTATTTTACCATGTAGTAAAAACTAATTATATAAGATGATTAAAATTAATATAATACATTGATTGTCTAATTTCATTCTGAAATTATTAAAAATGAAATAAATTTAAGAAATCAAATTATCTTTTCAAAAAAAATTTCAGAGAAGAATGGATGCAGGCTATACAATATGTAGCTGACAGATTACAAGAACAGGAACCTGAACAGGATGTTGAAATGATGGAGCAAGATGATCTTCTGGGTAGACTAAATATTTCTACTCGAATGTTTGGCACTAAAGGAAAAAAAATTGTAAGTGACTTATTTGACTTTGTTTTCATGTTGATAGATCTTTAAAATTTCAAATTCCTTAATTCCTTTCACAATAATAATAAAAAAAAATACTGTAATCTTTAAGCAAATCAACAAAAATTAAAACATTCCTGTTTAGGAGCCAACAGGCTCACATGCAGTCATTTTTAAGATGAGTCAAGTTGGGATCAATTATCAACATAGGATTTAAGTGCTGTTTTGTAAAATTTAAATCATACAGAAAACTTTTTATCCTAGAAAAAGTTTAATTTAAAATGTTTTTTTTCTCTTGAAAAAATATTAATGAATGAGTATCAATCATTGAATATATTTAAAGGTATTTAAATCTTTAATTAGATTGTTTTAAGAATTTTAATTTATGCATATTCCAGCATAAATTCATATGCTTTAATAAAACTGACTCAACGACAGAAAGGGCAAAATTGATTGAAAATCGTGGATATTATTGCATAAATTAGATGTGTAGTTCTCATTCTGTCAATAGATAAATTAAGACAAGTAATATAACAAATATATTATAGTGATTTTTTTAAACTTTTAGTGCATGTGTGTGTTATTTTTTTTAGAAAGAATGATATTTATGGTAGTGATTAAGTTAGAATGTTATGTTTGTAAAGATTTAAATTCTTCTATTTTTATTTAATTATTTACTGAGACTGCTCTTGTTTTGTTAAAAAATATATGCATAAACTGAGTCTCTAAATTTTACAAACTAGACTTTCTTCATCTTTTGAAATAAATTTTTTTTTTTAATATATTACATTTATTTTCTCTTTTTAGAATTATTATTATTATATGGTATGAATACTATTCTATTTCATTTGTGTTTATTTATGTAATAATTTACAATTCACAAATACTACAATTATGAATTTTTTTTTTCAATTAACATTTATATTTCAGACTTTAGACAACTTTGAATTTTTAAAAGTCCTTGGGAAAGGAACTTTTGGCAAAGTTATTTTATGCCGAGAAAAATCTTCTGGCTCACTATATGCTATAAAAGTTTTAAAAAAGGAAGTAATTATAGCAAAAGTATGTTTATTTTATAATTCTCTCTCCCTCTCTCTCTCCACAATATATATATATCTATACATATACACATATGCAGTAGAAAATCTCTTTATATTGCAATCTTGTAATCCATAAAAGCTTGAGGTTTTATGTTTATGAAATTTTGCATCATTTCACTCATTTTCTCTACTCAGTAGGGTGATATTTGTTTGGAACAGATTAATCTTTAAATGCTTTAAAACAATTTTTAGGTACAAATATTTAAAAAATAATAAATATGCACGTCATTATTTATTATTTGCAGAAAAAAAATTTTAATTTTTGGCAGCATTAGGACTAGCGACAAGCAAATTAATAAATTAGCTTTTAAAATTTTAACCTCTTAGCAAAAAATTTAAAAAATAATGTGAAAAGTTTATAGTTCTTGCTTAGTTATATATATCCTTAGAGATTTTTTAACTGCAAATGTCAATGTTTGCACTCACAAAACTAGTGTGGTTTATGAGGAATTGTGGTTTATAGAATTGTATTATATAGATCTTCTATTATATAAACACTTCCACTCATTCATTTCAATACCTCCAATATTCTTAAATTTTACATCTATAAAATATGACACTTAAATGGAGTAGCTGTTATTTGTACACATGCTTCCATTAATTTTTGTATTATTTTAAGATTTTTGTATTAATTTGAAAAAATGAAAATTTTTCAGCTAATTGTTCAAAAACGAGCATATAAGTGCAAAGTGATTGATCAGTGCATCATATTAAGCAAAATATGCATGAATGACGTATGTGGCAAATGTATGAGTGACATTAACTATTTGGCAGGCTGTTATGTGAATATTTACTGTATAAAAGAATTTTCTAGGTAGGGATTACTTCACTATTTGGAAGAAAAAGTTTTTTCCCATTCTGGTATGGCTCCTCAAAAGGAGTTACTAATTGCAAAATGTTCTGCGATTGTTATTCTAAGACAAGCAAGTCTTATTCCTTACTATTTTTCTCAGGAGTAAAAAAAGTGGTCGATTTTTAACAAAATATGTTAGGATGAAATTTAGTATTCTTCGTAGCATATATTTATTTCCATATATAAAATGGTAAATGTGAGAATATTAATTAGCATGAATCAACTAAAAGTGATATGTTGATATAAAAGAATATGTTTTGAAAGTATCAATTACCTCATTCCAAAAACCTGTAATAAATCCTAAAAACAAATGCATTATTCTAAATCAAATCAATACAAATTGATCAATGTCTGCAAATAAATAAGAAATTGAGTTTTTAAAATCTGTTTTAAATTGTCCTATTTCACTAAAAATGAATCTGGTTTGGTTTAATATTTAGTTTTTCTGTGTAATAAATGCCTATAATTGCCAAGTCTATTGAAACAATGTATGTGAATATTTTTTTAAAGGATGAAGTGGCTCATACACTGACAGAAAATAGAGTTCTTAGAAATACTGATCACCCATTTTTGATAGTAAGTTGCTTACAAATGCCATTTTAAATTATTTTGTTTAACCCTTACTTTCCCAAGAATTGAATTCAGGATAAAACGTGGTTGCTTTTTTCTTTTTTAATAACAATTTTTTTTCAGTTGTTCATTGGAATCTATTATTCATTTACATCTATTTACACAAATTTGTTTAAAATGTTAGTACAAATTTGCGTGCGTTTTTTGGCAAATTAAAGGGAAAATAATTAAAATCTATCGAGGTAAAAATTATTTTGCAATTATAATTTAATCTGAGCTGAGTTTTCCACTCTTAATCTTATAAATAAAGTGATAAAAAAAATACTCATAAAATCTCTTACCTTGCTACAACTTTATGATGTTTTAATTTATTAACAAATTATTATGAAAACAACAATCAAGAATTAATACAGAGTTTAAAGTTATTTATTTGATTTATGTTCTAAATTACTGTAGAAGCTGAAGCTATGGAAAACTTAAATATTTATGATAGTTTCGTTTAGTTTTACCATTATTCCTTCCATTTTTGCTAAAGCATATTGCATTGTATATGTAGTTATAACAATTTTTAGAGTTTATTGTAGAAAGTGAAAGTATAAATCGATGAGCCTATTCAATAAAAAAGCTTAAATTATCGAGAACCTGTTTTGTCCGCCACAGAATTTGAAAATTTTATTACCTGACATGCCAGGATTGCAATTAAATTATACCAAAGAAGGTGGAAAATAGGAGAGTGATTCTATTTAATGTTTTGTATGTTGAAGGTCATACACTTGCCCATATCACTTGATATTTCTTTGTTGCTAGTAATGCTCTGTTTTATTTAACGCTTTTTTAATACTTATTTAAGCTTAATATTTACTCTTCTTTGTTACCAATACTCGATACTAATTTCTTCTTAAAAGAGTTATTTCAATATAATGTTATTATTTTATTTTATTTTTTTTGGACTGGCTGTTAATTGGTACATTCTTATGTTTTTTTTAAAGTTTTTTTTTTTAAAGTTTTTTTTTTTTATAATTTATAAATGAACATGCCTATTTAAAAAGTTTTAGATTTCCTTGTTACATAGGAAAGCCAACTTGTATTTTATGTAGAACATGCTGCATAGCATTTTTAAAAAGTACTTAAAGGAGCTTATTTTTGATTTTTGTTTTTCAAAAGCTCTTTAAGGTGCTTTTTACATTGGGTGTTTTTAAAAAGTGCTTAATTTTTCCTTCTCGAAAATAAGATTTTTTTTACCATGTCGTTTTTTGCCACATATTCATGCAAAAGCATGCTTTTTACATTGTTCTATTAAAAAATTTTACAATCCATTTCGGCGTACCGTCGGTCGGTAGCATATGAAAGAGCCAATTGTTTACATAATTTGATGAAATACGAGTCTGTGTGTGCGTCTACTGAGCTGAGTTCGGCGAGATTCTTTCCCTCTCGTGTGCAACTTAGCTGCATTTTGCACGAAATTCTCAATTTCAGACTTCATTTTCCACCCTCTGATATCGAACTGAAACATCTCTTGATCATTTTATTATAGCTAATATAATAAATAAAATAAAAAAGAGTTCTGTCAGAAACTAGTTATTTTATCATGAACATGTAAAGTCTTAGAAAATTATTTTGCATTTTGTCAATGTATATAGTGCTTAAAAATATTTTTTGAGTGCTTAAAAAGTACTTGAAAGGTGCTTATTTTTTGTTGAAAGATTTGACTACGCACCCTGTAGAAGTAATGTGTTTGTTTTACAGTCTTTGAAATACTCCTTTCAAACATCTGATCGCTTGTGTTTTGTGATGGAATATGTGAATGGTGGTGAACTGTTTTTCCATCTCTCTCGTGAAAGGATATTCAGTGAAGAGAGAACTCGATTCTATGGTGCTGAAATTCTTTTAGCCTTAGACTATCTTCATACAGAAGGAATCATCTACAGGGATTTGAAAGTAAGTTTCTCAACTGTTTTCCATCATGTCAAGTACTTAATCACAAAAGGAAAAAAAAAGCTTTTTTTACTCCTTGTTATCTTTCTTTCCCTTAAATTTTCTTTTTTTCTTAAAAAATAATATTTTCTAAACTTTTTGGTCTAGAAGTCATGAGGAGAACAAATCTAGACATTTTATCAATTAAGAAAGAAAAAAAAGGAAAACAAATCGTAAAATGTTTAGTAATTTAATTAAAATGCACAAAGTGTCAGAAATCTAGAAGTGCAATGTTTTTTTACCAAAAAATTGATATTGTAAGAATTTTTTTCTCTTTTTTTAAAAGAAAAAAAATTGCTTATTTGTAACTCTGATGGAAAATATAAATGCTTTGAAATATATTTTACGTACAGTTATTACTGAAAAATTATTAATTAAATAAATGTCACCAAAAATCAGAGAAATTTAATAAAATCAGTTTTTTTAAGAAATCAACAAAAAAATCTGATTTTCAAATTTAAGAATTTCCAAATTTTTCAGAAGAGTGTGCCTCTTTAATCATAAATTGTGCTTTTTGCATAAGATTTATTGAATATAAAATAAAAGTCTTTGTATTTTAAAACATTTTATTTGACCAAGGGAAGGAACTTTAGGAAGACTAAAGGTGCCAACTATCCCGATTTATTAGTAATTTGTGTTTTCTTTATCAAGATCCAATCTAAAATACTGTGAGCAAAAATCTTTGTAATTCAAATGCAAGATGATAAAAAGACTACTAGGGCAGAGCTCCTGAATGATCCGTTTTTTACCTCCAAAGTCCTCTTTTGAATGATTTTAAATGTTTTTATTATGTTAAGATTGCAATGGTTGCTAATTGTGCATGTCAGTCTCTTTCCACAATGTTCACATTTTTTGAAAGCCACGTTAGTTCTACTATGGATCATCACTATAATTCCTGAACCTAGGGATTGTTTACTAATTAAGTTTTTCCACTTAAATTCAGAAAAGTTGACTGATATAGTGCAATCACTTCAAAATTTTTATGTTCCTTTCATACATTTGATTTAATATAGATAAGATCAAACATGCCACTTTTCTAAAATTCTGTATTTTTTCTTCTTCCTTTTTTTACATCAAAAGATTAAATTAAAAATTCTGAAATTGCAAAATGGGGTAGCCTCCACAAAGTACACAAAAGTGATTAAAGTATATTCTACTAGATTTTTTTTTTTAATTTTGAGAACTTTATTCAAACATGTTATAAAGAAAAAAATTTAATAATTAAATTTTTCTATACCAAGAAATTTATAAGGGTGAATTGAGGGTCACATACTTATTTACTATTTTCTGAATATAATCTTATAGGATAGACCAATCTTACTTGATACAAATCTTATGTGATAAAAATTAGTTGCATAAAAATTTGAATTGATCTCTTGTTACTGTTTACTTAAAATGATTTTGAGCAAATTAGAAATTTAACAATCACCAAAGTTTTAAATTGTAAATTGAGGGGTGGTTCTGAAATTGATTTTTTTTTTAAATGTTTACTTTTATTTTAAACTAACCATTTTACTTCCCAATTAATTATCCAAATAACTTGAAATCTAATAATTTCACTACTAAAGAATATCTAATGACAATAAATTTAAAAAATTGAGTTAAAATATTTTTTATACGTGTTTCTAACTATGTTCCATTTTTTGGAACTAGCCTTTAGCAGAAGCTTTTTTTTCCACTGTCCAGAAAATTGTAAATTGTATTCCAAAAAATTGTTTTTTACTACTGTCCTGTTGCTAAGTACAAAAATTGCAAAATATGAGTTTTGAAACTATATCAATAATTTAGCATTTTAGCTAAGCTTAAAATGATCATTTATTGACAAAATGTTCTGCACGATCCCCCTGTAGTAATTTTTTAAAATAGTTTCAAGCTTTTCCAATTCTTTTGGACCATCAAATTTCACTTTTTTCTTCAAATTTATAACAGAGCTCTCATTTTATTATTTTATTTATATATTTATTATTATTTTTCATCTATTCTTGAAATTTGATTTTTCACTTCATTTGCTCTAATATTACTTATAAAATGTTATCCACTACTCTACAAACGTAGCGTTAAATGACAGGCTCTAAAAAATTTTATATTTTATCAACTAATTTCTTATTCTCTTGGTTCGCCACGTTTCCAGTTTTCCAATTCTGAAACAGAAAGAGCTTCTAAGACTTCTTGTATTGTTATGTATCTCCCAGACATGGTGCTAAAAGCAAGCAAATTTTGTAAATGAGACAAATTAAAGAAGAAAAAAAGTGCCTGTTATTCTTTAACTCCTTGGATAACAACAAACGCTTCTTGGAAATAATATATAAATCACAAGAATGAGAAATTATCTATAGCAAGAATCTATTCATTACTGTTGTTCGGAACACTTTTAAAAAATCTTTATTGTTAAATTTCTTCTCAAATAGTGCAAGAAAAAGTAAAACCCATGAACTTACCGGAAAGAATTTCTTTTTTGATAGTAAGAATTTCAACAAAAATGAGAAATACTAATAATGAATGCATTAACAATAAATCAACGTTATTCAACAGACACGGTCATCCCCCCTTTTCTATTTCAACATCATTATTTTTCCTGAATAAGTGTCTTAATATCAGTAAGTGGATGACATATACAATAACGTATACGCAATCTAAAATAGAACTCTTAAAAATGCTAATGTTACAAAATTGGAACAGTTAGTTTTAAACTAGTATTTTAACTTTGCATTTTTTTTTTAAAAAATTTTATTTGATGCTTAACAATCAGTTATATTATCCTTTTAAAAGTTCATAAATATTGTAATTGTCTAATATAAATTGGATTTTTGCTAAATTATATGACAAGTGGGAGGAAATTAACAAATTATATTAAAGTTCTAAATTTATAAATAATTAAATAACTATGGGAAAAGAATTAAACTGAAAGCAAAAAATACTTCATAATGTAAACTTTAAATGTCAGAAAAAAGTTATCATTCTGCTCTAATTGCTGATTAAATTCAAACTCGAAAATATGTGTTCTATTTTTGGATTTTTTTTATCATGTAAGCAAAAAATAAAAATAACTATCAAAAAACAATTTTAAGAAAATATTAAAACGCATTGCAATTTTAAATAGGTCAGGTAACTATCTTCTCTTATGTGATTGTCTCTTGAAGATTATCTAAGTAATTAGAACTATTTTTGTAGCTAATGAACATATAAATCAAGTAATAGAAGTGTCATATAGTTTGGAATAAAATTACAAAATATGTTTTTAAAAATGCATCATAATTTAGTTTTTATCTTATCTACTATAATTCCCTAAAATGGCAATTTTTATTGAAGTTGAACTTGTAAGTTAAAAAAAATGTTTTTCAAATTTTATGTTTTAGGCAAAATTCAGCCGTTTTTATTTTTTTTATAAAATTTATTTGTAATTCTGAAAGTGCAAAATTTACATCCCAGAGACTGTAAATAAACTCTATAAAATATTAAAACTTCCAATTTATCTAACTGGATTTGTGGATTTAGGAATTTTGAATACTTTTTATTTATTTTATAGAGAGAAAGGAACAATAAAACACTTATTTTTTTATAAGCAAATTTTTAAAAAATATAATTTATCTGATACAAATTATGGATTTAGCAAATGCAATGTAGCAACAAATTTTATGATATTTAAATTTATTAATTAAAAAAAAATATCTCTTTTTCATTTTATTCAAAAAGGATTGAAATAAACATTTCAATAATCTTAAATCTCTCCACATGGTGAAGTGATTAACTTTTTACAAGTTTATTTTTGATAATTGCTTTGACAATTTACTTCTTTCAAGTGTTATTGATTTTCTTTTTTTGAATATTGAAGTTATGGATATTGGATATGGAATTATGGATATTGAAGTTACTAATATCGAATCTTATCTTCAAACTGAGTAACATTTTCTAATCAATGTTTTTCTTTTAATAAATTTTCCAGTTTTATGATTTTTATATTCTGGAATGCTTATGATATGATTGTCATTCAATAATAAATGAAAGTTTAAGAGATCATTCAGTTAGTTGTTAATTATCTACCTGGTTCTTAACACAATTTATCAGTTTGTTATAATTGTTGAAATTAAATTATAAATAAACAGATCACTTCTTGAGAGAAATTTTTTTTTAATATTTTGAAGGGAAAAAAAGAACGCTTCTATTGATATATTTTCTATAAAATTAAAAATAAACATCAAAACAAACAAAACAAGGCAATGCATCAGTCAAACTGCTTACAAGAACCTCAATTTGCTGATTCCATTAATAACCTCCGGTCCTGGTATTTTATATTCTTTCACTCCCCCTTACCAGGGCACGGGAATGATCACTACACATATACATAATATATCAGAGTTATTCTATAAAACCTAACTGAGTCCTCAAATTGAGTACTTTCTTCGAAATGTTTTTTGTTAAGAGGTCAGCTACATTATCTCGTGAATTAATATATTGAAAGTCGAAAATTTTTTGATCTGCATTGTCCCGTATGAAATGATACCCAAGATCTATGTGTTTACTCCAATCAGACGTAGTTTGATTTTTAGCTATGAACATAGCTGCCTGGTTATCAACATTTATTAGTACAGGAGGTGGTACAAACGTTTCTTTACTGAGATCAAACAGTAAACTCTTTATCCACAATGCTTCTTTGGTGGCATGGGCCATCGCCAGGTATTCAGCTTCTGCAGAAGGCAGTGCAGTGTTGTTTTTTACTGGACCAAGACACTGCAGCACCCCCAAGAATGACCACATAACCACTAAATGATTTTCTGACAATGCAATCTGCTGCCCAGTCTGCATCGGAAATTACTTCTAGCTTCTTTCGGGTTTTTCTATCTGTCAAACAAAGATGTTTTGATCGTTTAAGATACCTGAATAAGTGTTTGACACTTCGCCAGTGGTTTTCAGAAGGTCTTTCGTTAAATTGGCTCATATAAGTTGAACTATAAGCGATATCAGGA